TGAGGGTTCCACGCAGGACGCTGCAAGTCCCGAAGCCAGAGACTGCGCGAGGTCCTACTTCTGAGGGAGCCAGGCCAGGGTTTGGCCCCCACGTTCATTCTCTGTTCTTTCCCACTCACGTAGTCCCCTCCCCCCCCCCTAAAAGCCTTCGACTTGTTCCTGGTGGATGACCGCATCTTGCCCCTCCTGGGAAAGGCGCTCGGCAAGACTTTCTTTTCGAAGAAGAAACATCCCGTGGCCCTCAAACTTGGTGGCCTGTTGAGCAGCAACCCGCAGGCCATGGCCACTGTGGGAAAACGGATTATCGCGGCACAGCAACGTGCGCACTTGTACAGAAATCACGGGAATTGCCTGAGCGTGAAGGTGGCCAAGACAAGCTTCAGACCCGCGGAGGCGGTTGCCAACGTCTTGGCCGGTATTGAGGCGGCCGTAGAGGCGACGCCGGGGAAATGGAAGAATGTGATGGCCATCTCGGTCAAGACAAGCTCCTCGGTGGCACTCCCTCTATACCAGCGCCTGCCCCAGTACCTGATCAAGAAGCCGGGCGCGCTGGGGATCGGACAGGCGGTACACGCGCAGCTCGAGGGGGATGAGCCGGGGGAGGAGGGGGAGGAAGGGGAGGGGAAAGGTGCCTTGTTGACGGTAAAAGCCTTGGAAAATCGTGGCAAAAAGCGAGGGCCCCCGGTGTCTGAGGCGAAAGAGTCATCCGCCAAAAAGACGGGCCACAAGGGGAGCAGTTTGGCTCCAAGGACAGACGCCGCCAAGAGCAGCCAACGAGGTTTACCTCTGGACCCTAAAAGCAAGCTCTCAGGGGGAGAAATGAAAACCTCGGTCGTAACCAAGGGGGCTATCGCCGAGTCGGGCGCCGCCAAGGTAGTGGGAGATGCGTCGGGGAGGCCGAATCGGACAGGGGAGACGGTGGCCGCCGCGAAGAAACGGGCTCGTCAGGAGGATGGGGCAGCGGCAGTAGCTTTGTTAGCAGCGCGTGCCCAGACAGGGGGTAAGATTAGGGGGGGAAAAGCGGAGGTAGAGAGTCTGGAGACGGGTCCTGTCCCGCGGAAGGGGAAGAAAGTGGTGGTGGCCGAATCTGAAGGCAAAGGTAAGGCCAAGAAACAGAAAAAGAATCGTATTTAAGTCACACGGGATGGGGTTCAGGGATGTCACGTGGGAGAGTCCCTTGGACAGAAAGAGGAGAGGAAGGCCATGCAATCTGCGTCACTTTACGGGGAAAGAAAAAAGTCAAATGCAAGAGTGAGCCTTTCATTGGGCGACGAATTTGTTGCCGCCGTTATTCTTTTTTAAAAGTGGCACCTGTCCACCAACGCCACCTCAATCTTCCCCTTCCTATCCTGCTGTGTTGCCCGTCACCTCCACGCGCACGCGACCCTTCCTATGTACTTTCCCACCCTCGGCCGACGCCACCTCCTACAACGTGCGCACGCCGTCCTTGTCCACCACCTTCATGATCCACTTGGGTTGGGAGATTAGGAAACGCACCGCCAACTCCTTTTTCGCCTTCTCCAAGACGACCTCCGCCTCGGGCAGCGTCATGCCCTCCCTGTACTCCCTGTCAAAGATCGACAAGGTGAAATTCGAAGCATAACCTTGAGCACCAAAATTCACTTTTTGCATACTCCCTAGATAGTCGAGAAAGTAGAGAGCAGCCCCGTCTTTCTCGTCGAAGCCGCCTAGGAGCAAATTTGTTTGGTAAGGCCCCTTCCGCAAAGCTGTCGCCAACGTGCGCCTGATAAAGTTAGCAGCTGCATGCGTACCAAGCTTTAAGTCGTTGTTGAACTCGTACAAAGCCATATTTTTTTGTACGTATTCAGTCAGGTTGCTGCAATCAGCATTGGGGCCTGCGGCAGCCAGGAGCTTGTGACTGTCTAGAGCGGCTATCTTATCTTGGTCTGTTTTGAAGACGAGAATAGAGCGAGCAGCTGATGCATCGGCAGCTATGAGTACGAAGCCATCTCCTTTTATGCCCAAGAGTGTGTCCATTGCTGCCGCAATTGAGGTTCTGTGCTGAAGGTCAGAGCGAGTTGATGATAGTGGTGAGCGTGGAAAAGGGGTCACGAAAACAATGCAGCACCACCAAAATAATTTCCACCCATGCATACCCTCCCGACACATCCACCGTCTTCCTAACGTTCAAATCACGGCCGGTCGCCCGCGTTCCGTGTCGCACGCACGCCTGAACCAGGGGCCGAAGGGCAGGAAGACGAAGAAGCATCGCTTGAAGGAGACAGAGCGAGGGGGAGGGGTTTGATTGCCCTTCTTCACGCCCTTGTTTCCCCCCCCTGCGGCAGAAGGAAAGCACGCAGTGGAGGAAAGCATGCAACCAAAGCAACGCATGTGGCTGTACAGGGCGCATCGTGGAGTGATGCTTCCTTTTGGGTGATTAATTTTATCTTTTACCCTTCTTATCTCCGTTATCTCAGTCTGCTGTCTACTTCCACCTTCCATGCAGTGCAATCGTTGATCCTCTTCTTTGGTGATTTATGCACAATTTGAGCCCCAAATTTCTGCAGCTCAATCCAGATCCATTGATCCAACGTTGATCCCTCTCCTTTCTAGATGTCCCTCCATCCGTCTTCCCAAAGCTTGTGGACGAGCTCCAAACTCCGGGATCACAGGCTAACATCAGCTCTGTGAGGGGGACAAAGGCGAGCGCAGCGCACGACAAATGAGATACATGGACCAAATAGCCATGGCAGAACAAAAGCAAGATCCATCATATTTTCTCCACCCCTACCTCTTTATTCGTCAGCACGAAGAGACCCATAATGCCGACCAGGACGTATCTAGAGACGCGAGAAGGCCAGAGTGAAAATAAAGATGGGAACACGCACGAGAAAGACGTGCCAGAAATATATAACATGACAGGCTGTGTGCCTCTCTTCACGGTGCGACATGCTTCATTCACAGGGAAGACATGCCCCAGCCCTGGACCCCAGAGCATGCCTCCGGACTCACTTGAGCATGGGGTAGTCGTTGAGGATGATGGTCACCATACCCAAATACCGTAGCGTCCTGTGTGGTAATGAGATCAAAAGGCAATAATGAGTGGCCAGGTGTCGGAGTCACGCGACTATCCAGGACATGGTGACGGCCCCTGCGTTTCGCGACAACTTTTCTTCATGTCTTCAAGTCGGGAGGAACGATGTGAGGGGTCTCCCCGCCCTCCCCCAGCGTGGGTAACCCCTCTTCCATTCGTTACCGTCTTTTCTTACATACAAAGAGAAAAGAAATGAGAGGTCATAACACCCCCTCCACCCTAGAGGTCTCCTCTTCTATTCGGCACCCCCCTCTTGATCCCGTCCACGCACCCTGCGGCTCGCCCAAGGATGTCTTCGCGATTCAGCCACAGCTGGCCAGGGGCGTACAAGCCCCGGTCCCCTACTCGATTGTTGTCCCCTTTGGTCAGCAGCTCCACCTTCCCATCCTCCCTGTAGGCGTGGGTGTAAGACATGAAAGGCGAAATTCAATGCACACACTGCGGGAAGAATCCGGTGTGTGGCCTTCCTCTCCCTTTCTAGCCTTGTGCTCATCCCATAATCGACCACGTGCCACCCGTAAGGCCATCTTTCCAACAGGACGAGGGAATGATGAATATCACGAGTAACAACAACTGCGAGCCCTCCTCTCGGGACCACGTCTTTCCCCTCCCTCACCCTGGCCGCCACTCACTTTTGATGTACCTCCAATACGCGGTGGACAATGGGAATGTCTCGATCCTTGATCTTAAAAACGACGATTTCACCGACACGGATCGGATCGTCTTGGTTGTTGAGGAAAAGGATATCCCCTCTTTGAAACGCGGGTTCCATAGAGCCACTGAGGGGGCAGGAGAAAGAGGTGAAACGAGGATGCAGTCCTGGCGTGAGTTCGCGGCACAGCCACGCCTGGTTGGTCGAGACCCTCCCCTTTAACTTCAAGCCTTTTCCCTCCCGCACAGCGCACAGAGCGCGCGGACATAAGGACTCAAAATTAGAGAATATGCGTTAACAAGTGCCTTTCGAAACCAAATTTGAAGGAACTGTTCGAGCCATGCCGCCCCGTCTTCTACTGCACGCGACCGGTATTTACCTAAGAACAACCACAACCGGGCTCTCGCTCTTGGTCAGAAACATGAGTCCTTTCCATATCATCAAGGCTGAAAAGACGATCATGGCCAGGTTCAAGGACTGCGAAAGAAGCATCCGCGGGGACCGCCACAGCTTTTTCAACTCGGAAAGTTGGCCTTGCACAATTTCTTCCATGCTTATTCACGTGCTTTTCCCGTACGGCTTCGGCTGGAAGGAAGAAAGGGCCGCGTTTAGGAGAGGGAGTGAATGGAGGTTGGACAGAGGAGAGGCATCAGTTCGTAGACCACCAGACGGGCAGGAGCTTGAGGAAAAAGCGAGACAAGGCACGTATTGCAACCTGCCAAGGCATCAGCAGGCATTGAGGGTTCCACGCAGGACGCTGCAAGTCCCGAAGCCAGAGACTGCGCGAGGTCCTGGTAGGGAGAGTGGAGGCCACAGAGCAAGGGAGCAATCGAGGGGTCGTAAAGCATCACAAGGCAAATGGGCCGGGGGAGGTCGGACCCCGGGCGATGTTTGGCGTTCCGCTGGTCACGGTGGCTACATTGCCGACCAGGGCAGTGTGTGATTCATTTGTCTGCGCAGTTTTATGTTACGTGTGGTCATGCTTTAAATCGATACTTGTGTATGTACTCCTACAGCTACATGCCTCCGTCTGGTACACTGTGCACCCAGGCCTCTGTCCTCAACTTTTCCAGATCCAAAGCAATAACCTGGACCCGGAGGAACAAGCTATCCTGCCTTTTCGAGCCCTCTTGGCATTCAGACATCAGACTAGAGACTGGAAGAAAGGTACGGGCACACTGGCCGTCACTGGGCAAAGCGGCAGCCAAGGCCTCTCTGAGCATCGCTTCGTTGTCCAAACATGTAGCAATGTAAAAGACACGCAGATGAGAAAGTTGCTGCCAAGTCAGGTGTGCAACTCTCAGAATCTTCCTTAATTGATCGACCAAAGCGTAGGCAACATGAGTGTAATTCAGGAGGAGGGTCTCATTCTGCCCACCTTCATTCCTGCCATCCAGGTCGTCGTCAAGATAGAGAGACAAGCTTACGAAGTTAAAGACATATGGTACAAAGATAGCCTCCCAGGTATAGGAGAGGAGAGGTCGTGACATAAGGGGCATGTTTTTCGACGCCAGCGCAGCGAAAGTAGCGGGCGGCTGAAAAGGTAAGGGCAATGGGCATTCGCCCATGTCCTTCTCCTCTAGAATATCCTCCAACCGGCCCTGCTCCGCCCTTCGCGTCGGTGACTTCACCTGAGCGAAAGCTGTCGACAGGGCTACCACTTCGAACTCAATCGCGGCGCCCCGAGGCAGGTTGGGTACTCCCACAGGGAGAAAAATAGGGCACGGGCTGCTTTGACATTGGCCTTCGTTCGCCTCGTCCTCCTCTCCATCCTGTTCCTCATCGCTGTCATCCCCATCTGAACGATTGGCGCCTTGGTAGCTCGCATCATTGACCCCCTTATCGCCTGTGGCCGCGCGTCCTGTCCCGGTTCGGCCCCACCCAGCGTCCAAGCGGCAGACATCCTCCCATTCCGAGGGGTCCGGGGAAAACGACTCATACCCGTTCTGGTCCACATGCACGTACACCACCACCATCAAAACCGTCCGAAGGGAGGCTCGGAGCGCATGCAAGACCTGCGCACAATTATACAGAGCCTGGAAAGCCTCCAAGTCACGGGGTTTGACAAGCACCATGGTGGCCGGGTCCAGACCGATCTGCCCCGCGAGGAAAGCGAGGTGGCCGTGGCTCAAAAGATTGGCTTGACTGTAAGGACCGATACACACCGGTGCCCACCCCGACAGGCTCTTCACATGCAGCACCTGTCGAGGTTGGAAAGACCCTGCATCCATGGCGGCGCCCGACCCGGCCAGGGCCATCACGTCGAGCAGGACCTCGACCTCCTCCCAACCCCTACATGCTTCCTCGTCATCGTATGGCCTTGCCAAGGGAAGTTCGACACAGGAGCGGGAAGGAGGGTGGTGCGGATGAAAGGGTGCTCGGCAATATTCGGCGTTGACGGCGGCGAAGGAAGCCATGGAGCGGAGGTACAGGTGGACAACGACAACATCGTGGAGGCTGAGGCCGTGCTCAAGCAAGACCCGTTGCACTCCCTCAAGACAGAGCCGCATTTGACCAGCGGCCTCTCCATGCGTGGAGCTGTCCGCGCCCTGGAAATGGACCCGTGGTGTGGGTACGCAGTACCCCGATATGTTCAAAACTCTCCCTTGCCGCCATACGTGCGGCTGAGGGCGAATGCGCCATTTCCTGGCTCTCTTCCCGGGGGCTACGGCACACGCTTGACTGCCGAGACTTTCGGCGCTTGTGCTAGGCCCGCCGTCCGCAAGGGAGCGTACGATCGCTACTTCTAATGGGAGGACGAGGCATCTGTTTGGTTCATTACCCTTTGATGTTTCTGTTGGCGAAGATTCCTCCTTGAACTCGGCATGGCACCGGTGGATGTGCAAAAGCCCAACGGGCGTATACACGTCGTCCGAATGAATGACAACCTCCGTATCATCTAGCACCAAGCGCCGTTTGAAAAATGGTGCATCTATAGCCAGCGTTTCATATTCTCCCCCTTCTCCCGCCACATGAAACCCATGCTGACGGTTCAATCTTTTGAACAACGGCTCTAGCTCAGCTATTGATTTACCCAGGTGTTTGTGGGGAGCAAGTCCCTGAGAACTAACCTTGACCAGAACGGCCTCCAGACCGTATTCTGTCATCTCTTTTAAGAGCTGTGATTGGTCGTACTGCCACAGAAAGGCCAGGGACTGCAAGCCCAGTCGGTCGCAGACGCTCTCGACTCGTGTCCGTTGATAAGTGGAAAGGACGGCACCGCTTGATACCGCCTCGACCTCCGGATAAAGTTGTTTGACCCGAAAAAGCAAAGCATGTAGATCTTCGACTTCATCACCTTCTGTCGGCGTGTACTGCAAGCCTTGGTGGGTACTGGCACCGGACATGGTAGCTCTTACCATGGGCACGCCTATACATTCAGCAAGGCACTCGACGGCAGACGACCCCGCGCTTTGAAACATGAAAGAGTCCAATTCCTCTGGTCCATCGACTGGAGGAAACAAATTTGCTAAAACAACGAGCTCATGTCCGTAAGCCAGGCATTTTGCAATGCTGAAAACGCTGTCCTTACCGCCGCTAACTAATGCAACAAACCGCATTCTAGGGTGGGGAGGTTAAACAACAATAGCGGACGGCTCTCCCCGATTGGAATTTTGGGAATTTATGAGGAGAGGTATCTCCAGCACTTGTCTGTGTGTGAGTTTTATTTAGTTGATCGATATATTAATAGTTGGTGAGCAAATAGGGACAATGTACTCGGAAAGAGCGTAGGCAACCTTCTCGCCTGCAGAGCAACTCAAGATACTGCACCTGGCGCCCTGCAGTACTGCCCGCCATCCTCTTTTTTCGTACGCGAGCACTTATTTCCTCTTTCACCACTCACGCAATAGATGTCAAGAGGAGGAGACCCTTTGCCACACCCACAGCAGCCGTCACCTTCCTCATTGTTTCCCTTATCTGCGTTCTCAGCATCGTCTCCCCCAAAGCGAGCTACCAACTACACTTGGAAATCCAGGTCCCGATACTCCGCCTCCACGCTGCTCCGTTTGCGATTGTTGCTGCCATTATTTATCCTACTAGAGATCCGACCGGTCAACGCATTCACATCGCCATTTCCTCGGTATCGCTTCCACAGTGCCTTTTCACTTGGCTCGGCGCGGATAAGATTGAACCCTTGGTCTTTACCAGCAAGCACCCTCATCATGAACGAGGAAGTAGAAACCAATACTAAATCAGGCCTTCCCGCACCTATCAAGGACAAATCTGTTCCTCTGACAGACACGTCGCTCAAACCCTTCCTGGAGCATATTATTGCGGGGGCGAGCCTGTCCTCGAGTGACGTCGAGGCTGCTTTCGACCGCATTCTAGCCGGATCAGACCCTGTGCAAGTAGGGGCATTGCTGGCCATGCTTCGTCAAAGGGGAGAGACCCCCGTAGAGATCGCAGGGATGGTCCGCGCCATGTTGAAGCAGCGGTACCCGGTGAATGTGACAGGGAAGCTCCTTGATATTGTAGGGACGGGGGGGGACGGGGCCCATACCATCAACATCTCCACTGCTGCAATCATCCTGGCCGCAGCCTGCGGTTGCAAGGCCGCAAAACTGGGCAACCGGTCCGTCTCCTCCAAATGCGGTTCCGCGGATGTGTTGGAAACGTTGGGAATTGACATGGAGCTGACAGCGGAGCAGGTGGCCGAATGCATCGAGACGACAGGTGTCGGCTTCATGTTTGCCCCGGTGGTCCACCCTACCATGAAGAAAGTCGCACCCATCCGCAAGGCTTTGGGTGTCCGCACTGCCTTCAACATTGTGGGCCCGCTCTTGAATGCGGCCGGAGCCCAGCACGCCGTGGTGGGGGTCTTCCAAGAGCGTCTCCTGGATGTGTTGGCGGGCACGCTGGGCGAGATCGGGACGGTGGACCGGGCGCTGATCATCCACGGGGTGGGCCTCGACGAGATCTCTCCGCTAGGACCGTCCACGATTGTCGAATTGAAAAACGTGGCGCCGGCGGGGCAAGCGCGCGTGTATGAGAGGACGAGCTACACCTTCGACCCGCTCACCTGTGGCATCCCGCGATGTGCCATCGAGGACCTGAGGGGCGGGGACGCCACGGAAAACGCGGCCTTGCTCCGTCAAGTTCTCTCGGGGGGACCAGAAAGAGGGGCGAAACGGGACGCGGTCGTTTTAAATGCGGCAGCTGGCCTGTACGTGTACGGCTCAGTCCCGAGTCTAGCGGAGGGGGTGACGTTGGCGTACGATATCTTGGCGAGTGGGAAGGCCCTTGTGAAGCTAGACGAATGGATCGCATGCTCGCAGGCATTGAGAAAAGGGGGCGGGTAGGGAGATGGTGGGCGTCCAAGGTAGGAAAGGGGAGGAGGAAAGGGGGGGGGTGCAGGTGGTGAAGAGGGGGAAAGGGAGGACAGCGCCGAGGCGTGGAAAATGGGTGAAAGACCCGCCTATGATGCATCGAGGGTAGATTGTCTGCAAGAGGCTATAGCACCACCATAAGATTGCCATAAATGACATAACTATCCTCCAGCTTGCGGCTCCCGCTCGGGCGGAGAGACGTCTGGACGAGCCAGCTCACAGTTTTCTTTCTTTCGTCTTGCACTCTGACCTCGTCCCCTCCTTCACCTCTCATTCACTGCCATCCCTTACCTAAAAAGGCAGTTCAAGATCAAGTTGACATTGAGTTTCTTGAGATGCGTGTATTTTTGCCCCGTACCGACGAAAAGAATGGGCTGTCCCGTCTTGTAGCACATGGATAGGGCCGCACCCACTTTCTCGTCCACAGTGTCGAACTTCGTCAGGATGATGCCATCGATCTGGTGCGTTTTCCCTGGCGGCGAATAATTGGCCAGCGCCTGGTTGAAGACGGTAAGCTGGTCGATGCCGTCGTTGCCGACTAAAGCCTCCCCCACAAAGACGACCAAATCAGGCTGGTTGTCAGAGACTAACTTGGCGAGCGCGCGCATCAGAGGCTCCTTGTTTTGCATCCTTCCCGCCGTGTCCACCAAGACGACGTCGTGGCCCTTGTCGGTAGCCTCTTTGATCGCCGCTTTCGCCACGGCTGCCGGGTCTTTGTGGTAGCCTTTGTCGTAGAGGTCGACTTCCAAGCACCGGGCGTGCACCTTCAGTTGCTCCACCGCGCCGGACCGAAAGGTGTCGCAGGCGGCAATTAAGACCCGGAGACCGTGCTGCTTCAGGTAGTAGCACACCTTGGAGAGGGAGGTGGACTTCCCCACGCCGTTGATACCCACGAAAACGACCGAATAAGGCCGTCCCTCAGCCTTGGCCGCCATGACTTGGCGCAAGAGGTCAGTGGACTTTCGCGGGGTCAAGACACGGACGATGGCCCTTTCCAAGGCCTCCCGCACAACGGTCTTCACGCTTGTGAGGCTTGGCAGCTTCTGCCCCACCAGGGAGGTGCGCACCGATTCGCAAATGTCCTGGGCGATTTCGCTCGCGACGTTTTTCCCAATCAGCAACATCCTCATCTCCTCCATGATAGGATCCACCTCCGCCGCTGACAGGACGGCGTTACCCGTCATCCGCGCAAATAGTTTGGAGAAAAAAGAGGAGGAAGTTGTGGCTGAAGAGGAGGTGGAGGTCTCCTTGCCGTCCAGGAAATCAAGGGCAACTTCCTCTTTTTCCCATTCCGGGGTCTCACCGGCTGCAGGCATGTACGTGGCCCTGGTCTCTTGGAGAGCCGCCTCGTTCTGATGATCCTCGGCCAAACCGTCCACACTCTCCACCCGTTTCGATCGGTCCAGGGCCTCCATCGCCGATTTGCTCATGCGG